CATTAAGGTCCTGGAGTAGCCTAGCCAGTCTCCAGACCTTAATCCTATAGAAAATCTAGTGGAGGGAAGCTGAAGGTTCGAGTTGCCAAACGTCAGCCTCGAAACCTTAATGACTTGGAGAAGATCTGCAAAGAGGAGTGGGACAAAATCCCTCCTGAGATGTGTGCAAACCTGGTGGCCAACTACAAGAAACGTCTGACCTCTGTGATTGCCAACAAGGGTTTTGCCACCAAGTACTAAGTCATGTTTTGCAGAGGGGTCAAATACTTATTTCCCTCATTAAAATGCAAATAAATTTATAACATTTTTGACATGCGTTTTTCTGGATTTTTGTTGTTCTTATTCTGTCTCTCACTGTTCAAATAAACCTACCATTAAAAATAGACTGATCATTTCTTTGTCAGTGGGCAAACGTACGAAATCAGCAGGGGATCAAATACTTTTTTCCCTCACTGTAGAGACCCACAGACTTCTTCTCTCTCTACAAGATAAACATGACCAGTGTTTCTGCATTACGTATGGAGATGCAGTGGCATTTAGACGCCGCTGTGTGAATCCATACTGTAGATATTTTATGCCTTCATGACCCTCTACCTCCACACCCCCGCCTCACCCCCCTCGCCACCTGACCCCCTTCATCCCCCTCCGTGACGTCATTAACATCATCGGCACTCATTCAACCATTCTTTGAACGAACGCGCACTGGAAGAGGTGAAAGCGCAGTCCGAGCTTGTGCACGATTCGCCTTCCTCGCACCCTCACCGCACCCTCCCCTCGCCCCACAGCCGCAAGGTGATGCACCACTGCTGGAGCTACGCGCCGTTAGAGCGCCCCACGTTTGAGGCGATCCTCGCAGAGCTGAGACCGGCCTCCAACGATGACAAGATCGACAAAGGCGAAGAGGTCGGCTGGGAGCCGTCGTCCGTTCCGTCTGAGTACAGCTCCCTCACTTGCTAGGATCGCCCTCGTTACCCTGTCCACTCTAGGGGTGAATAGTTTTTTTTATTATTTCAAAGATTACCGTGCTACATTTGTTTACTCAGGGAAGTCTCACTCTTTTGCAGGAGGGTCCTGTCCAGCTTTCACAGAAGGGGGCGATGTTGCCACGGTGTGTAATCCGTGTTTAAGTAATTTGCAAGTAAAATCTCACTGTTAGAATGGGTTGTTCTTTTTTGAAAGCTGAGAACCCTGAGAAAACGCGTGCACAACAGGGGAAGAACATGCAAAGTCCACAAACTCTCACTTACACGCCAAGACTAAGATCCCCCCATGTAACAGACTGTTGGGGTAAGTGCCGTTATGAGCACTTATGCAGGCCTGCACAGCATATGGGGTTTGTCTCTGCCAGTGCTGATGTTTTCACAATGCACCAAGTACTCATTTGAGGCCGAGGGTAGGTCCAGGAATGGTTCAGATAATTGCCACTGGTGTTGGCCGTGAGCAGGAATAATGCCAGGATTTATGGCTCCATAGTACAGCTCGCTAACCCGCTGCACTAACGCTCCCCGTAAACATCGGTAACATAAACAAACAACAGCTCGTACAAATACAAGAACAAATACAAGAACCCCCCCCCCCCATAAGGTACATCGTGTTGTTTTGATTTCACGACTCGGCGCGACTCGCGAATACTCAAAGCGAGATGCTCGTGGTTAGTAAACAGGTGTCCAGTAGTCAATCCGTGTTTACTAAAATCTCGTGATTGGTAAATTCGCAGTTGGCAATGGATTCCTGTACATGTATGCCTCTACTTACGAAAGGGATGCGTTCTTCGAAAAACGCACGTAAAACAAAATATCGTAAATCGGAATGGCTTTTCCCATTAATTGAATACGAAAAACTAGCGATGTATTTCAGATAGTCATTTCTACTATAAACCCAAAATAAACACCAATATTTCACAATGCAAAAAATAATGAAGAACAAATATTACAACGGTTGAATAATAATCAATTTAAAACAAAAATAATTAACATCTTCAAGGAACTCACCAAAAGATCTGCATGTTGGAATGACTGGAGAGGTGACGAGGCGTTACTTTTGCACTATGGGGATACCGTGACACTGTCGTGGATGGATGACAGCTTTTTGCTTGATGATCTCATGGCGTGTGCCATGTGATATATTGTTTCCGCTGAAATTCTATTTCGTAAGTCGAAAAGTATCCTTAATTTGTCAATTTCGTTTTCACTAAATTTCGTGAATGGAACATTCGTAAATCAAAACACAAAGATTTCCTGTACAACCAATATAGACTGTTGGGCCAAGTGCTGTCGTCAAGCACCTAATACAGAAAATAAAAAAACACGTGCATTCATGCACAACCACGTACAAATACACGTGACCATTATAAGCACATGCTTTCAACATAAATCACAAATGTTATATATTGTGCTTTAATGATTACATTTTATATTAGTGTGTCTTAATATTACACAGTAAATATCTTCAAGGACCACTCATACAGTCCCATCATCACCACCATCATCACCAAATGTATCATTATCATCATCCCAACCATCTGTATAATCAATCACCATCTGTATCATCACCACCAAAGCAAAGACTCCCCGTATAGCCCGAATAGACTGTTGGGGCAAGTGCTGTTAGCGAGTACCTGTGAAGGCCAGCATGGCACACGAGGGGTGGGTGGCCAACACCACGCCCGGCCGCCTTTGTCTCCCCAGTAGTGATGTTTACACCACACCAGGTACTCATTTGAGGCTGAGTCGACCTAGGGGATGCCCATGACCGGTTCAGAGAGTCGTTACCTGCGTTGGGCATGAGCGAGAATTTAACTCAGGTCGCCGGGTTCGTAGCGGAGCGTGCTAAACGCTACACTACCGCTACCCACCACCTGTATCACCATCATCTTCCAGAGTTAATACATTACATGTCAATAGCTGGAAATACTTGTATTTGTAATAAAAAAAATGCATAAGTAGTTGTCACTCACTCACCCACACTCAAACGGTCAGAAAGGACTGAAAGATGAAATATCTTCAGAACCCTACATCCTGAAACTAAATTAATTATTTCAATTTTACCAAGTAAGGCCCACTGAGCTATATCGCACACTCAGGAGTCCTGATTCCACTTCTGGGAGTCTCAAGTCCAACGCCATGGAATTGTATATGTTTAAACATGTGCGTGCATGTGTGTTTGTGTGCACGTATGTGTACATGCGTGTATGCACGTGCGTGTGTATGCACGTGCGTGTGTAAAATAACTTTAGCCATGACATTTGGGATATGTTAGGTTTAGGGTTAAGAGCTTTGCGCACGTAAACAGGTGGGTGTGTTAACTCACCAGTGTGTAGCTCACCTCACCGGTGAGCTGGTGTGTACACTATCTAATCTGTAAGCTTACGACTGTGTGTGTGCACACTAGTGTGTAAGCTCACTGATGTGTAAACCTGCTGGTGTGTGGCCTCACTAATGTGCAGCACATTTTGTGGAAGCTCACTAGTGTGCTTGCACACGAGTGTGCCGGTGAGTGTGAGTGTGTGTGAGTGTGCGGTGAGTGTGTGTAAATTTGTGTGAGTGTGTGTGAGTGAGTGTGTGTGAGTGAATGAGTGCGGTGTGAGTGTGTGTGAGTGTGTGTGAATGCGGTGTGAGTGCGGTGTGTGTGAGTGTGCAGTCAGAGTGTTGGTAAGTGAGTGTGCGGTGAGTGTGTGAATGTGCAGTCAGTGTGCCGGTGAGTGCGTGGTGAGTGTGCAGTGAGGGTCCAGTGAGTGTGTGAATGTGCAGTCAGTGTGCCGGTAAGTGAGTGCGTGGTGGGAGCGGTGAGTGTGTGTGAATGTGCAGTCAGTGTGCCGGTAAGTGCGTGGTGAGTGTGCGGTGTGTGAGTGTGCAGTGAGTGCCAGTGTGCGAGTGTGCCGGTAAGTGAGTGTGCGGTGAATGTGGTGTGTGTGAGTGTGCCGGTGAGTGTGTGGTGAGTGTGTGGCTTGACGTGTCTCCGTATCAGTCTTACTCAGCCACCCCCTTACTTGCCCACGCGTAGATCCGTCCTGCCCACCAGACAGCTACATGCGATTCAAATGTCCACGTACACATGACATCACATTGCGATGCGCATGTGTGACATACATGTGCCACGTGTTGCACACACTACGCACGTCCCATGCACAAAGGGCATGCCTTACAAGTGGTGACCACGCGATGCAGGTGCTTGCCTTGTAGATGTCACGTACCCGTGACGCACGTGGCCCGTGCGCGTGACGCGCGTGCTCCGCGCTGTCGTGTGCTTTGACCAGGGCCGTCCATAGGGGGTGCGTGGGGCCCCCCCCGATGCCTTCAAACTAAACCGGAAGCATTACATGTGACACTGATGTCTACACGTGGGGCCTCCCCCGAAGCGCGGGGCCCGGGATAGTCGGTCCAATTTGCCGGACACTCGGGGACGACTCTTGATTTGGCATACGCGACGCGCACGTTGTGTGCGCTGTGCGTGGGGTGACTGGCCCGATGTGCGTGCCAGGCAGGGCAAGGGGGACTGCCATTGATTGTGTCGAGACCTTTTGTATGGGTGACGAGATGAACGCCCAAATTCAACGCAGGCCGCCACACAAGGGCTGCACATTTCAATGTTGAGCAGGTCCCTGTGTGTCCGTGCGTGTGGGTCCCTGTGTGTGTGTGTTGTTTCTGTGTGCGTTATGTGAGGGTAGCAGTGGCGCAGTGGATAGTACGCTACGCTCCGAACCCCGCAAACATCCGAGTTGGAGTCCCGCTCATGGCCAACACCAATAACGATTATTTATCTGAACTGGTCCTGGGTCGACTCAACCTCAAATGAATACCTGGAGCGGTGTGTGTATACGTCACCACTTGGGAGACAAAGGCGGCCGGGTGTGGTGTTGGCCACCTACCCCCTGGTATACCATGCCGACCTTCATTGGTGCTTGCGAACAGCACTTGCCACAACAGTCTGTTAAGGCTATATGGGGGATCTTCGTCTCTGTAGTGGGAAACTCGTAGGTGTGTGCATGTGTGGAGGGAAACCTGTACTGCTGTCGTACGTTGTGACCGGGCGAGGCCAATTTCCGTCCTCATGGTCGGCCACGGCGTCCTGGTCTTCGTACTGCTGCTTGTTTTTGGCTGTAATGACACCCAACATGGACAACCCCATCACCTGCGTTCAAACAAGTGTTACACAGTATGAACAACATGCGCAATAAAGCAACCACAAAGCACATACACTTTTAAATATAAAAGCACTGGGGGTCTAGTACTGTAGTCACCAATCCGTGTGTATTATTTATTTATTTGTTGGTCATTCTGATGGCAGCACAAACAGAAGCTGCATCCATAACTTCTCAATCCCCACAGTCCCAGGCCAAGGTCCATTCGTGGAATTAATACAAATATTTACTTATTAGAGGGTGTTTTTGTTTGTTTGGGTTAGATCGCGTAAATCTTAGTCAAGTTTGTCACGTAAACAAAACATGCCAATTAGTGACTAATTCAGCACATCGGTGTGTTGGAGAGTAAACCCAAAACATTTACAATTCAAGTACCGTGACGTTTCGCCTGTAACTACAACAACAACCCGCCTCGTCAGGTGACAGCCAGAGTTGTGGTGAAATCCTTCCCCTGTTTCGGTCTTTAATAGACGTAGACGGGGGATAAATGTGACGTCGTCGCTTGTAAGCAGATCCGATACGAAGACCGGGGGGGGGGGGTAATGTATTGATGTAAATTACAATGGATATCTGTTATTGATTGGGTTATTCGCAGTTAATCAACATACATAATTGTTACTCCTGCTATTATGGATTAACTCAAGCAGCTAGCGAAGGATGCTAGGTTTAGTAATATGTTATATATGTCGCTATTGTTAACTTTCAATCACATTTCTTTTGATCACTGTTGCATTGTTTTTATAGCATTATTTTAGTAATTTCTAGAAAGGTTTAGTTTAGCCTGATTTTTTTTATGTAGTGTAGAGTTAGACTTAAAATTGTAATTTAAACTGTATTATGATTGTTATTGTTATCTAACATCAAAATGGGATTTTTTTTGCACACTTTAGTACGCAGCATAAACAAATGGTGCTTTTTCTAGAAGATTTCATTGTTTTTGTAGGGGATGTCTCAATTTGTGTACAGTAAATTATCAATGCATCTTGTAATTGTATTGTTTGTCGCGGTTGCACCCGAATCAAGAGCCGAATGGCTCACAGGGTTATTCCAAATAAATGAAACTGAGCAGTCCATGCGGTCCGCACCACGCCCGGCCACCTTCGTCTTGCCAGTGTTGACGTTTACACACTCGACTCGGTTAAGGCTGAGTCGACCTTGAGGGAGGCCCGGGACAGGTTCAGATATTCGCCGCTACTGCTTTTGGCCGTGAGCGTGAATGAACTTTGCTGGCTGAGCACAACGTAGCAAGTTGCCACGAGGTTCTACAGCAAAGTGGCAGAGCCCCCCCCCTCCCTCTACACCGCTCCCATCCCCCGCGCGGCCCTCACGGCCCCTCCACCTCACCGCGTGCCGAACCCGCGCACGTGCAACTCACACACACACACAGGGTCTACTACTGGCCCGTACGTGTTTACAGTATGTTAGACTTCTTTCACACCGTACATAGTGGACACTGTGTGTGTGTGTGCTGCGAGCTGAGTGGTGGAGGTACCTGGCAACAGTTGAACCGAGCCCGCTCGGCCTCTTCATCCGTGGCGACCAGGGTACAATCGTTACTATATTCTTGGTTCTTTCAGGTAAAGTCACGTAGATAGAAAATAATAACAATAAAATAAAAATAAATTAAAATAAAAGCAAAAAACCCAAGACGTTTCGATCGCAACACGTGATAAAGACCGCTTGTGTTGCCATCGAAACGTCGTGGGTTTTTTGCCTTAACTTAAAATGTTATTTTCTATCTACGTGACTTTACCGAAAGAACCAAAAATTATGAATTCCTGCAAGTTACGAAAGTTTAAAGTAAAAATTTGACAGTCGTGTAACTAATGAGGCCTGGAGGATACAGTGGGTCACGTGGTTTCCGGGGTTTGTTACCTTAACAACTAGTGACGTCACTTCCTTAGCAACGGGCGATCGTTACAGACGGAGGTGGACGCGCGCTCTGTGTGCTTAAAGATCGCATTCGGGAGCACACTTCGACAACGTCGTCAGTGAACATCGATAACGCGGTTAAATTACTTGGTAAACCTCATTGACAAACATCCGTGAGGTTGAACACTTCATTAACACAGTTAACGAAATCTATTGACCAAACGTGACCATCCGTGACTTCTCGTTCTGCCTTCAAGGCGATATCTTCCGTGAGTACATCCACACGCGCGCTGTATCAGGATAACATTAATCTGAGAGAACATCTATATGTGAATGTGTGTTCGAAATGTTTAATATACTTGCCGACATGCAACAAACTTGAAATTTGGCATGTGGGTAGTTTCCTGACTGTATACAATTCAAAAAGTATAAAAATAGACTTTTCTATTGGGGGGGGGGCGGGGGCGCAAAAATGGATATAATATTTCGATGTAAAGCTTTCGTGACTGCAAGGATTCATCTTTGGTTCTTTCGGTAAAGTCACGTAGAATGAGAATAAAATAATAAATTGATAAAATAATATAACAATAATATTCTCACGACGTTTCGGCCACAACACAAGCGGCCTTCATCAGGTGAAGGGGACGAGACTGTCTGGAGGACAGTGCTGGAGTGAGAAAGCCACGCTGAGATCACGACCTTTAAGCTGTGTGAGAAGAAACAAAGCGCCTTGACAAAGGAATTAGCATATAATTTAGCATTGAAATGGCTGAGTGATTAGCTTGTGACTGGTCACAGAAAAGGCTATGTTAAAGTTAAAGCATGCACATCCGCAAAGGCACCCCTTGACAAAGGAATTAGCATAGAATTTAGCATTGAAATAGCTAAGTTAAAGTATACACATTGGCAGAGGCACTCCTTGACAAAGGAATTAGCATAGAATTTAGCATTGAAATAGCTGAGTGATTAGCTTGTAACTGGTCACAGAAATAACTATGTTAAAGTCAGAGCATATACATTCACCGAGGCAACTAGTACAAATCAAACAGGAGAATTTAGCATTGAAATAACTAGGCGAATTTAGCATTGAAATAACTGAGTGATTAGCCTGTGACTGGTCACAGAAATGGCTTTGTTGAAGTTAAGGCCTACACATCTGAGCTATTCACAGTAACTGGGTATACAATACAATATATAATGAATACTATATAGTGAACCAATAAAAAATACTAAAATATAAATTACCTCAATGTTATCAATAAACTCTATATTCTCCAATCAGCTAAGCTACCAACAATAAGTCGTTATATATCACAATGCTATATGGCGAAAAATGGGTGAATTCTTACCCTCAACTTTAGCAACACGGATAGCTACGGGTCCCGTTCAGACGGACGAGTTCATCCATGGTCGGAACATAGGAGGGGGAGAGAGACAGCTGCGAGGCGCTATTATACTCCATGTTGTAAACCATACCATTAACCGTGGTGTGAGAGGTATTAAGAGTCAATGCTGGCGAAAGAGCTGCGGTCTGAAGGTCATCGTAAAAATACAATTAATTAAGAACAGAAATGATTTAAAACATCTTTCCAGTGGTTACTAAGCCAGAATCCATCTTCTCAGTTGAAATTGTCTCTGTGCTTGTATATGTGAATGGCCTCATGAACGAATCTCTCATGGTAGCCGGTTGGTTTGCAAAGAAACTCCGTCTTGGAGAAGTCAATGTCATGTGAGCCCACTGAATTATAACAGTGATCTGCCACGGCAGAGGAGTTAGACCTACCGTGTTTCAAGTCTGCTTTATGTTCGCGGATGCGGTCCGAGATATGTCTTTTGGTTTCTCCAATGTAGCTACTACCACAGAGGCACTTTAGTTTGTAAACGCCCGGGTACTGTATGTCTGGAACAGCATCTTTTACAGATGGAACTAGATCACGGATTTTATGTACTGTGTTGAATCGGACCTGGATCTTGTGTTTATTCAGGATTTTGGAGATCTTTTTAGTGACCCCTGCAATGTAGGGTAAGGTGATGGTTTTGAGTGGCTCCACAAGAGGATCCTTCTTCATGACTGGAGTGATGGCTATGCGGATTGTGTAGTCGGAGTAGCCATTAGCCCTGAGAGCCTGGTGTACGTGCTTGAGTTCACTGGTAATGTGTTCCTGGTCGGAAATGCATTGGGCTCTATGGTATAGAGTCTTGATGAGGGAGTTCTTCTGGGATGGATGGTGGTGGGAATCCGGTTTCAAGTAAGCATCTGTATGGGTAGCTTTCCTGTAGACAGAGTGGCTCATTGAACCATCATGTCTCCTTTTAATTAAGACATCCAAAAAGGGTAGTTTGCCATCTTTTTCGACCTCCATGGTAAATCTGATGGCTGGGTGTATGGAATTGATGTGGTCGCGGAATTGGTCTAGAGCAGGCTGGCCATGTGGCCAGATGACAAAGGTGTCATCCACATACCTCTTCCATAAGGTCGGGCGTAGAGTGGCAGTCTGGATGGCGTCAGTTTCAAATTTTCTACAAACAAACTGAGGGCACCCCAATGGGCTCCCCCCTATCTCCGGTTGTAGCCAACGTATTCATGGAAAAATTTGAAACTGACGCCATCCAGACTGCCACTCTACGCCCGACCTTATGGAACAGGTACGTGGATGACACCTTTGTCATCTGGCCACATGGCCAGCCTGCTCTAGACCAATTCCGCGACCACATCTATTCCATACACCCAGCCATCAGATTTACCATGGAGGTCGAAAAAGATGGCAAACTACCCTTTATGGATGTCTTAATTAAAAGGAGACATGATGGTTCAATGAGCCACTCTGTCTACAGGAAAGCTACCCATACAGATGCTTACTTGAAACCGGATTCCCACCACCATCCATCCCAGAAGAACTCCCTCATCAAGACTCTATACCATACAGCCCAATGCATTTCCGACCAGGAACACATTACCAGTGAACTCAAGTACGTACACCAGGCTCTCAGGGCTAATGGTTACTCCGACTACACAATCCGCAAAGCCATCACTCCAGTCATGAAGAAGGATCCTCTTGTGGAGCCACTCAAAACCATCACCTTACCCTACATTGCAGGGGTCACTAAAAAGATCTCCAAAATCCTGAATAAACACAAGATCCAGGTCCGATTCAACACAGTACATAAAATCCGTGATCTAGTTCCATCTGTAAAAGATGCTGTTTCAGACATACAGTACCCGGGCGTTTACAAACTAAAGTGCCTCTGTGGTAGTAGCTACATTGGAGAAACCAAACGACATATCTCGGACCGCATCCGCGAACATAAAGCAGACTTGAAACACGGTAGGACGAACTCCTCTGCCGTGGCAGATCACTGTTATAATTCAGTGGGCTCACATGACATTGACTTCTCCAAGACGGAGGTTCTTTGCAAACCAACCGGCTACCATGAGAGATTCGTTCATGAAGCCATTCACATATACAAGCACAGAGACAATTTCAATCGAGAAGATGGATTCTGGCTTAGTAACCATTGGAAAGATGTTTTAAACCATTTCCGTTCTTAATTAATTGTATTTTACGATGACCTTCAGACCGCAGCTCTTTCGCTGGCATTGACTCTTAATACCTCTCACACCACGGTTAATGGTATGGTTTACAACATGGAGTATAACAGCGCCTCGCAGCTGTCTCTCTCCCCCTCCTCTGTTCCGACCATGGATGAACTCGTCCGTCTGAATGGGACCCGTAGCTATCCGTGTTGCTAAAGTTGAGGGTAAGAATCCACCCATTTTTCGCCATATAGCATTGTGATATATAACGACTTATTGTTGGTAGCTTAGCTGATTGGAGAATATAGAGTTTATTGATAACATTGAGGTAATTTATATTTTAGTATTTTTATTGGTTCACTATATAGTATTCATTTTATAT